TGTGTGTGAGTGTGCGTGTGCGTGTGTGCGTGTGTGTGAGTGTGTGTGTGCGTGTGTGTGTGAGTGTGCGTGCGTGTGTGTGAGTGTGTGTGAGTGTGCGTGCGTGTGTGTGCGCGTGTGTGCGTGTGTGTGAGTGAGTGTGTGTGTGAGTGTGTGTGTGAGTGTGCGTGCGTGTGTGTGTGTGTGCGTGTGTGCGTGTGTGTGTGAGTGAGTGTGTGTGTGAGTGTGTGAGTGTGTGTGTGCGTGTGTGTGTGAGTGTGTGTGTGTGTGAGTGTGTGTGTGAGTGTGTGTGTGTGTGAGTGTGTGTGTGTGTGTGTGTGTCGCGTCGCCCCGCCCCGTCCCCTTTCGCCCGCCCGCGGCATGTCCCGTGGGAGGCGGGGGGGGGGGGGGGCGGGGGCGGGAGGGGCGGACACCCCCTCTTCCGCCCACTCCTGCGATGAGCCAGCCGCCAGCCGGGCAGGGGACGGTGCCCCAATCCACTTGAACACCGTTCCTAGGGCAGGAACCCAGGCCAGACCGGGAGGTTTTGCCCAAAGCCAGGTAAGACCCCAACCGGCTTAGAACCCGTCCCGAGCCCCCACGCCCGTGCTCAGGGGCGCAGTCGCCTGGACATGGGCCTGGTGACCTACCTGCCCCCTAGGCACGCCTGCCAGAGAGGGAAACTGAGGCCGGCGGGGAACACTGCTGGTTGCTGGGGTGGCCCGGCAGGCGCCCTGGGCTGCTCTGGGCGGCCAGCCGCTCCCGCCCTGCCGAGGCATGAGGGTGCCTGGGGCAGATGCCTGGCGCCAGCCGCGTGCCAAGGGTGGGCTGCAGGAGGCGGGGCTGGGCTCTCCAGGCCGGTCCCGGGGGCCAGGGGCAGGGAGGGGGTGGCAGAGGCGGCTGCGAGCCAGAAGCAGCCGCTGCGAGCCAGAAGCAGCCGCCAGGATGTGGGCTGAGGGCCCTGTGTCTCTGTGGGGCCGGTGGGGCCCGCAGGGCAGGAGACAGGCGTCAGCTCCTCCCTGGGCGTCTCCGAGGGAGTGGAGCTTGTCCACTGTGTGCAGAAGCCGGGAGCTGGGGCGGGAGCGGAGCGGGCCTCCAGGAGGCAGGGAGGCGGGGGCCTCTCCTCCGCCTCAGATGGCTGCCCCATCCCCAGAGGGAGCTGCAGGGAACCCTGGCCCCGGGGGAACTGAGGCTGAGCAGGGACCTTTGGCCCAGGGTGATGGCCGTGGAGCTGGGCTTCCAACCAGGGGGTGTGGTGGCCCAGGGTGGGGGAGGCTCACAGGGAGGGAGCCTGCTTGTTGCTGTGGACACTTTCGCCTTTCCATCATTTTAGTTTTGAATCTTGGTTTTTAAAGTTTGTATTTTCTTTTACTTCTTTTTGATTGTGCCAGCAATGCCTGGATGCGCTCTGTGTTTAAACAGTAGTCATGCTCCATAAAGCAAGTTTCTTCTTGTCACCCAGCCTGACCCAGCACAACCCCAGCCCGACCCCAGTCCTACCCCAGCCTTACCCCAGTCCTACCCCACCCTTACCCCAGTCCTACCCCAGCGTTACCCCAGTCCTACCCCAGCGTTACCCCAGTCCTACCCCAGCGTTACCCCAGTCCTACCCCAGCCCAACCCCAGTCCTACCCCAGCCTTACCCCAGTCCTACCCCAACCTTACCCCAGTCCTACCCCAGCCCAACCCCAGTCCTACCCCAGCCCAACCCCAGTTCTACCCAGTCCTACCCCAGTCCTACCCCAGCCTTAACCTAGTTCTACCACAGCCCGACCCCAGTCCTACCCCAGCCTTACCCCAGTTCTACCCCAACCCAACCCCAGTCCTACCCCAGCCTTACCCAAGCCCAGTCCTCCCGGTTTCCAGCAGCTGTGGGTCCTCCCAGACCTGTTGTCTGGTATGTCAGACACTTTCATGGTGGAAAAGCTTTGCAGAGGTTATAATGAGGATTAGCTGTGAGTCCTTCACACACACACACACACACACACACACACACACACACACACACATACACACACCAAGTCCCTGGGACCATGGTGGCTTCCAGGGAGAGAGGCCGGAGGCTGGGTAAGCTGGGAGGGAGGGGTCAGAGAAAGGGCAAAACCCTTTGTGCTGCTTGGTGCAGCTTTGCCACCGTCTGTAGGGAGCGTCACCTCTAGAGGGTCCACGGGGACGGAGGAGCCCCAGGGACCCACTGGCTCAGCCCACTTAGCAGACGGGGACTCAGAGGCCGGGAGGTGAGGCCCCAGGGCCAGGAGTGAGGTCACAGGCTAGGAGGGCCTGGGTCCCCGTCCGGGGACAGGGCGGGTTCAGATCCTGTAACTGCTGCCCCTACGAGGGGCTGGGACAGGGGCCTTAGGGCGATGGGAGGGAGGCCCTTGGCCTGGTCAGTGGGCGGAGGAGTCGAGGAGGGAGGCGGGTGACACAGGCCGATGTGCCAGGTCAGGATGGGAAGGAGGCTGAGAGGGGAGGCGACACGGCGTTGTGAGTGGACGTGTGGCCCAGAGCTCAGGCCAGCAGTCCCAGCTCAGGGGGTGGGGGTGGAGTTGTTGGCCTCAGAGTTACACAGACCCAGACAGTTCTGGGATGCCCTGTGCCTCAGTTTCCCCTTCTGGACCGTGGGAGTAGTCATGAGTCCACATGGAGGCCAAGAGGGCTGTGTGGCTCAGGGTTCGAGAAGAATAAGCCAGGGGATGACTCCAGCCTGACCCACAGTGCCCCTCCACCAGCCCCACACCTCCACCAGCCCCCCTCCAGTAGCCCCCCCCCTCCAGTAGCCCCACCCCCTCACGTAGCCCCACCCCCTCCCGTAGCCCCACCCCCTCCCGTAGCCCCACCCCCGCCAGTAACCCCACCCCTCCACCAGCCCCACCCCCTCCACCAGCCCCACCCCCCACCAGCCAGAGGTAGAAATGACGGGGGTGGCTTTGCCCCTCTGCCCGAGTCTGAGCCTTTCTCCCCTTCCCGGCCACGGGCTTCCTGGCGCCCCCTGGCGCCCCTCCCAGAGCGGATCTCAGGCCCGCCTGGCCAGCATGACTCAGCGTGCGGGCCCCCAGGGGTGACTCAGGAGCCGGGCAGCCTCCAACGCCCTGCCTGGCCCCTCCACGCGGGGCATCTGGGCTCCGTTTGCGACCCTCTGAGCCTCTGACCCCCTCGGCCCCGCGGATCACAAACAGCCCGCGGGCTCTCACCCTGCTCTGTGGCTTCGGCCGCAGGGAAGCCAGCCCTGATGGGGGGCTTGGGAGGTGGGCTCTGGGCCCGGGCCGGCGGGCACCCCGCCTGTGGGGATCGCTTAGGCACGTGCTGGGTGCGGTGTCGGGGTGAATCCCCCCCCCACACCCCGGAGTGTGGACGCAGGCTGCATGTGGGGGCCTGACCACGTGCTGATGAGGGAAGCCAGTCCCCAAGGCCGGTGTGCAGGCCTGTGAGGAGCCATCCTGAACAATGCGGAAACGCTCCCGTGGAGTGGGGCGGCCTGAGGCTCCTCAGGGGCCCAGGGTGGCGCCCCGCTGGCCGTGCCGCAGGCCACTGGACAGGGAGGGCGGAGTCCGGTCACCGGGGGCAGAGCCGGGCCCCGCTGTGAACCGACACTCTGTGCCTCCAGGGAAATGAATATTCGTGAGCGCTCTCTCCTTCCCTCTCCCAACCTCCCTCTCCCGCCCGCCTCGCCTCCCCTGAGCCCCGAGGGCCCCGTGGCTTCTAACGCGGTCCTGAGCCGGCGCAGCCCCGCGGGCTCACCCCTACCCTCCGTGACTGTCTAAGTAAACTTCCTCTGATAATTTGAAAAAAAGAGAATGCTCACCACAGACATTTTGGAAAGCGACGGCGATGTCAGGAGCCGCCCGTGCGGGCCCCCGGGCCCAGGCTCTGCCCGCCGGCCACACCGCGTTCCCAGGAAAACCGTGGTGTTAGGGTGACGACAGCATCGTTGGGCGTCTGTTCCACGCTTTACGATGCCTGCTTCTATGACCTATTTCCTGTTAAAATTGGGATGGTCTGTATTATCCAGTTTTATATTTATTCGGGCCTCCGGGTTGCGCAGGGCCTCCCCCTGCACCTGCTCCCCTCCCACCACCACAGAGGTATGCGTCCTTCTCTGCGCCCGCCCCCCAGGCCCCCTCCTGTGTCCCGTGGAGAAAGCGCTCGCTGCCTTCCAGCACCTTCTTACCCAGACCCCGGGTCAGGGTGCCCTTTCCGAGGCTGTGCCCGCCCCCCATCCCAGCAGGCTGGGATGTAAGTTTACTGAACTGAATCCAGCGTGTGGCTTCTTATCTCATGCAAACAGACGCCCCCAGATTCTCCACCTGGGGTTGCGGTGTGTCGGGGGGCTCAGCCCCTCCTTTGGTGATGGGGAAGCGGACGCGGAGCCAGGGGTGCTGAGGGGCTGAGGGTGCCCGCAGCAGGTCCCGGCAGAGCTGGCCCCAGAGGCCCAGCCTGGGTCCCGGCCCCGTAGTGTCTCTCTGGACTCTCAGCCCCAGGGAGCAGCTCAGCCTGCCAGGAGCACGGCACGCCGCGGGGCACCCAGTGGGTCCTCGGCGCAGACCCTGGTGCTGCTGGGCAAGGGGCGTGGCCACCAGCATAACGGAGAAGCGATGCCTGGGTCCCCGGCTCTGGGGTGGCAGCTTCCCGGCCCCAGGCAGAGCGTCCTCACCCTGAGCCCTGCCCTCCTGCCCAGCCCTGACTCTTGCTAAGTCCCCCCCTTCCCACTCACCACTGGCAGGAGCGGGTTTTGACCGCGGCCAGGCGTGGCCCCAGAGTGCTGGGTGACCCCAGGCAGGCTGCTCCCCTCTCTGGCACCGGAAGGGAGGGTGACTGTAGGGTGTGCACAGCCCCACACCGGGCTGGGCCCAGGTAGGCCAGGTTGATGTCCCATTTTACAGAGGGAAACACTGAGGGCAGCCCAGACAGTTTAAGGGATTTGCCTGAGGTCACAGGGAGTCCGTGGGAAGCCAGGAATGAGCCAAGCCCTGTCGGCTACCAGCTGCCCAAGGAGTGGAGGAGAAGTGCTAGAACCTAAAGCACAGGGCGTGGACTGGCGCAGGCCTCCCAGCGCCCCGGCTGGCACCCGGCCTGGGGAGGAAAGGCTGGGAAGCCTGCTTGGTGGCAGGGCCCAAACCGGCCTGACTGAGGTGGCAGAGCGGAGGGCTCACCTGTCTGGGGACCCAAGGCCAAGGCTGAGGTGAGAGCACAGGACGCTGGCAGCTGGGGCAGGAGCTGAGGGGGCGGCAGTGGGACGGGCACCTGGGAGGCTCCCAGTCAGGCAGCTTCTGGGTGCAGGAGGAGTTTGGGTGGAAATGTGAACCTCCCCCTCCCGCCCCCCACCCCCACCCAGCCTCGCTCATCTTTGCCTCCCCTCCCATCTTTTCTAAAATCGAGTGACTGAGTGATGAGGGGCTGGTACCAGATGCACCCCAGGACTTTTGGTGACCCCGGGTCTGCGCACAGTAGGTTCTTGGGAAATGCTCAGGGAGGCCCAGCCTCTCACCGGCCCTGGTTTCTCTTTCAGAGCTTCCAGAACAGCAGCCGGAGCAGCGATGGCCCCGCCCTGGGTGCCCGCCGTGGGCTTCACACTGGCGCCCAGCCTGGGGGGCTTCCTGAGCTCCTACCACGTCCGCGGAGAGGGCCTCCGCTGGTATGCCAGCCTGCAGAAGCCCTCGTGGCACCCGCCCCGCTGGACGCTGGGCCCCATCTGGGGCACGCTCTACTCGGCCATGGGGTGAGGGGGCCATTCCCCCGGGGCTGGCGGGCGGGCGGGGCCTCTTCCCTTGCCAGGGGCCCAGGCGTCGGGCGGGGCTGTAACTGTCGGTGCTCCTTGGGCAGCGGCGCCGTTTCTGGCCTCCTCTGCCAGGGGAGGGTGGAGAAAGTGGCGGACCGTGGATTGCACCACCGAACCTTCCCTGCGGGGCCTCTGGGGAGGGGCGGGCCGATGGCTCAACCCCACACTGGCATCCTGGCTGTTTTCACAACGCCAGGGTGAGACTGGCTCAGTGGGCAAAGTTCAGACGTGGGCAGCGTGGAGGCTTCCGAGATCAATGGCAGCAATAACAACAGCAGTAACAGTAGCTGCCGTTTGTTGAGCATCCGCTCGGTGCTAGAGCGCGAGGGACCCTGCGGGAGCCCCTGGCCTAGACCCTGGGAATTGCTGTGGTGAAAGGAAGTGCTGTGTGGGGCGCCCCCCTGGTGGCCACAGCGGGAACTGCATTCAGAAGGTGCCGTCAGCTTCCTGCCCATCTTCTGGAATGTTCCCTGCATGCGGGTTCTGTGCCAGCCCCGGCAGGGTGGGGCTGTAGACCCTAGCTATCCTCGGGGCAGGTAGCAGAGGCTGGGCTGGGCTGGGTGCCCCAGAGTTGTGGTGGGAGTAAGAGTCCCTGAAACCTGGCTGTCACTGGCCCCCACCCCCCAGCCCAGGCAGGCTCCCAGCGCTCCCTGCGTCCCGCTCCCTTCTCTCCAGTCCTGGCCCAGGTGCCTCGCTTCTGCGTCAGCTTGCTCTAGCCTCCAGGCCTCCGAGTCCTCCTTGGCCTTCCTCCACCATCCAGATCCTGACACGGCACAAACATGGCCCCGTCTCTTTCCTGGAACCCCGCCCCGTGAGGCTCCTGTAGGCACTGACAAGGACAAACTCCTACTCATCCTGTAAGGCCCAGCTCAGATGCCCCTGTATTCTGTGCAGTGCCCTGGCGGGGCCGGGAGCCTCACCGGCTTCCTTCTTCACAGCCCCAATAACGGTAATAATGATACAGTGGGGCCTTGACTTAGGAGTTTAATTCGTTCCGAGACCGAGCTCGTTAACTCAAATTACTCTGTCAACTCAATGCAAAAATCGGCTGAGACAGCTGGTATCTCAAAAAACTCGTTAGTCAGGACACTCGTAAGTCAAGGCCCCACTGTAAATACTTACTGAGTGCTCCACGTGCCAGGCACTGCCCTAAGCACTGCCGGTGTGTTAACCTGTGAGAAATGAAGGCCCAGAGGGGTCAGGCAACTTCCCTGAGGCCACACAGCAGTCAGCGGCAGGGCAGGCCTGCGCCATCACCTGCCCTCCCGGAGGTCAGTGCGCTCCTGGCCTCTTCCCCGGCGTTGCCCTGACAGGTGGCCTCTGTTTCAGGTACGGCTCCTACCTGGTCTGGAGAGAGCTGGGGGGCTTCTCGGAGGAAGCTGTGGTGCCCCTGGGCCTCTACGCGGGGCAGCTGACCCTGAACTGGGCATGGCCTCCCATCTTCTTTGGCTCCCGACAGATGGGTGTGGTAAGTGCCTCCCTGGCCCCTGGAGATGGGCGTGGAGGGGTGGGCCTCCTTCAGGGACACGGGCATCACACCCAGACGGGGCCAGGGCCCAAAGGCAGGAGCAGCGTTCCGTCAGCAGCTCAGGGGCCGGCGCCCTCTTGTGGAGCCTCCACGGCTGCTTTTCCTCCAGCAAAGGGGCCGGACGGGCTGCTGGCTCCGGTTTAGGGGCCAACGTGTAGGACAACCCACAGTGCACCTGGCACCATGCACCCCCCACGCGGTGTGGGTCAGGCAGAGGCAATTGTTGCCATTTTATTATGGGGAAACTGAGGCAGAGAGCTGGGGAGGGGCTTGGCCGGGTCATGCAGGGTGGAATGGAGTGCTCAGTGGGTGGGCAGCTGGGACAGGCACCCTCGTGGGTACCTTGAGCCTCAGGCCCCCGTCCTCCGTGTCTCCACAGGCCCTGGTGGACCTGCTGCTGACGGGGGGGTTGGCGGCAGCCACCACCGTGGCCTGGCACCGGGTGAGCCCTCCGGCCGCTCGGCTGCTCTACCCGTACCTGGCCTGGCTGGCCTTCGCGACGGTGCTCAACTACTGCGTCTGGCGGGACAACCAAGGCCGGCGCGGCGGCCGGAGGCTGGTGGAATGAGGTGCCGTCCCCGAGGACTGTGGCTGCTGCCCGTGGGGGGTGGTGGCCTCTCACCTTCGTGGCCACCACACCTGCGAGTCTGTCAGGGGCTCAGCCCAGGGTCACCACTGGCTTCGGAGCGGCTCCAGGCTGAGCCCACACCCAGGGTCCCGTCCTGCACTTTCTGCACTGCTCGGGCCACCGGCTGGGGCACGGGCGCGGGGCACGGAGTGTCACAGCCAAATAAAGTCTCTAACCCGCACTGGCCTTCTTCTTGGTGGGACGTGCATCCCCTGCAGGGTGTCTGAGCCGCGTCTCCGAGGGGCTGCTCAGGGCTCCTGCACGCTCTGGGGGCATCTCCGAGGGGCTGCTCAGGGCTCCTGCACGCTCTGGGGGCATCTCCGAGGGGCTGCTCAGGGCTCCTGCACGCTCTGGGGGCATCTCCGAGGGGCTGCTCAGGGCTCCTGCCCGCTCTGGGGGCATCTCCGAGGGGCTGCTCAGGGCTCCTGCACGCTCTGGGGGCATCTCCGAGGGGCTGCTCAGGGCTCCTGCACGCTCTGGGGGCATCTCCGAGGGGCTGCTCAGGGCTCCTGCACGCTCTGGGGGCATCTCCGAGGGGCTGCTCAGGGCTCCTGCACGCTCTGGGGGCATCTCCGAGGGGCTGCTCAGAGCTCCTGCCCGCTCTGGGGGCCACCCAGGACCCTGTAAGAGGCGCGGTGGCCCAGGGCGAGCAGCCCTGGTGTGACCGGAGCCCACACTGGCTGTGCTGCTGCCTGGCTGGTAGGGACCAGGCCTGGGCCTTGGGCTTCAGCTGACAGGCCGGCCTGCCCCCTCCAGGCCTCCAGGAGCCCGGGCTCAGCCTCTGGAAGGGTGTGGCCCACAGTCTGACTGGGCCAGCGCCCGGCTCTGCCTGGGCCAAGGCAGGGCCCTCCGTCGGCCTCGGTCAGAATGAGGCTGTGGACGCCAGCTGACCCGCCCCTGGGTGCCAGACTCCTGCCAGCCCCACCCCACCCAGGGCAGCCCCTCAAACACCTAACTGGGGGAACATCAGAGGCAGAAAAGGCCGGTCCCCAGCCCAGCAGACAGCAGCCCCTCGCTGGCCCAGGCCTGCCCAGTTGTGGAGGTGTCACCCCTGGCTCCCCACGGGAGGCCCACGACCTCCCAGGCAGCTGTTTGGAGTAAGGGAGGCGGCAGAGGCCTCGCACCCGGGGCTCCTGCTGGAAGGACGTCCGAGTCCTGGGCCGAGCTCGGCAGCGCGGCCTCCTGGGACCGTGGTCGGCTGCTGGCTTTGCTGCCTGGGTTGTTGTGGTTGTCAGATAAGTTAATTAGAACCGGTGACACTTCCCTGGGTAGAGCTCTGGGCGGCTCAGCAGCCTGAGTTTCGCTGCTTCTGCTGTCTCCTTCCTCCTCCTGGCTGCACAGTCAGACGTGACCCCGAATTACGAGGAGCTCGGGGAGCTGAGCAGACAGCCGCCGCCCGCCCTGCCGCCGCCCTGCGCACTCGCTGCGATTCGATGTCCAACAAGCTCGGCTCTGCAGGCACCTGGCGGCCGTGAGCGCGTGCGGGCCCTGGGCGGCTCCGCAGAGCAGCGGGGGCCGGGGGACTGCACACCCACCGTGTCACTTGGTTCCGAGTTCTCCTCGGGCACAGGGCACACGTGTCCGCAGACGCTGCGCGGCACTGCAGCCCCCGCGGCAGCTGGGTGTCCGTCCCCTACGCCTGGGGGTCTGTTCCTGTCCGGCAACACCCCACCTGCTCAGCCACAGGAACGCCGGGAGGACGGGCGAGGCGGCGGCACTTGCTGTGCGCCCTGCCTGCTGGCTGTCCGCGAGGCTTTCCCGGGTCCTCGCAGATCCTCTCCCTTTCTGGCTGTTACAGCCGCGAGGCCCCGCGGTGCCGTTTCCACGCTGGCTCAACAGGAAAGCCCACACCTCGCAGATTCATCGGGTCCGAGGGGCTGCACCCTTTTCAGGGGTCGCTTCTGCGGGCGAGGTCTCGGCTCCCCTCCTGGCCACTGACCACGGAGGACACGGGACCAGTCCGCTCAGGCTGCCCAGAGGCGCAGCGGTAGGTCGTCACCTCTTCTGCCCCAGCTCCCGGACCCTCTGGCGTCCCTTGAACGGCGAGGGCCCCTGATGTCCCTGATCCCAGGACAGGAAACGGGGGAGTGCCGGCCGAGGTCCTGATGCAAGTGCTCAGAGCTCAGAGTCCACAGCAGCCCGGTCTCCCCACACCTGCCCCCACTTCCTGCTCTGAAAGGTTAGGGAACTGTGGTCTGAGGGTGCCTGTCCCCCCAAATTCATGTGTTGACATCCTAACCCCCACGCGGGGTGATGAGGTCACGGGGTGGAGCCCTGCGGAGTGGGATCAGTGCGCTGAGACCCCGCAGACCCCTCGCCCCTTCTGCACGTGAGGACACAGCACGATGTCTATGAACCGGGAGTGGACCTCAGACACCGATCTGCTGGTCCCTTGATCTCGGGACCCCCCCACCCCAGCCTCCAGGACTGTGAGAAGTTTCTGTTCTTTAAGCCGCCAGTTTACGGCATTTTGTTGTGGCAGCGAACGGTCTAAGATGAAACTTGGGCCCTGAGCACCCCTGGCTTCTCCTCCCGGGTCTCACATCTGGATGGTCTGGTTGAACCAGGAGGAAAGCCGCTGGCAGAGCCTGCCCGGCCTGTGGCCCCTGGACCCAGACACAGGGAGGCCAATACTCTGTCGTGGTACAAACCCAGCCGAGGAGGGGGACGCCAGCAGCTCTTCCCGGGAGAAAACCGGCGCTGTCCCGCCCGCGATGGGACAGGGAAGGGCCGAGGCCCTGGTCAGCAGAGGATGGACAGGCAGACCCAGAGGTGGGAGGCACGGTCCGGTGCAGTTTCAAGGACTTCTCTTGGCTACACAGACACAGACACAGACACACACACACACACCTCCCCCGCAAACACACACACCCCAAAGCAGGCCCCTGCCACTGTCCCGTTAGCTGGGGCAGGCGCATTGCGGCTACAGCTGGCATCTGACTCCAAGTTTCAGAAATGATATTAAGAACAAGAATTTTGTATTTTCTTCCCATAAACGAAAGAGTAACAATAACCCGACGTTTTGACCCTGGACTCTGGTGGAGGATGTATTTGACGCGAAGTTCTCGGTGGAATCGTCCCTCGAAGCCCCCCACTGCCGGCTGCGCTGCTGCCCTCACCCCGAGTCCCCTCGCCCAAGCGCCACCCACCCTCAGAGAGGGCGCCCACTGCAGTGCCAGGGAGGCCAGGACCACGGGGAGCAGGGCGGCTGCCCCTGGTAGACGGAGAGGCATCAGCAGCTGCCCTGGGGCCACAGGTTTGCTGGTGACAGTTCTGGGGAGTGGGGGGTGGGGGTGGGGAATGGGGGCACGAGAGGGCTGGGTCTGGCAAGCAGGGTCCCCAAGGTGTTCTGGGGACGCCCGCCACACGGGGCCTAGGGGAGGGGTGGGAGCCTGAGCCCGCTCTGGGGGAGCCACGACACTTGGACAGACTGGACAAGAGCCGACTGGCCCTGATGTTTGGGTTCCCACAGGCGTTCCGGGGGGACCTTGTTTCTGGGGACACCTCGCCATACTCCCCAGAACCCCTCTTTCGCTAACGCCCGGAAACATGGCCGCCAGGAACCGAACTCAGCGATGAAGCTGGGGCTGAGCTGAGCAACACCGCACAGGTGGTGGGGGGTGTACACGGCGCCTGGCACTCGGCCTGGGACAGTGTGACGGGCCGGCTCCCGGCCTCAGGGAGGACCTGCGCCAGGGTGGGGAGCGGGTCCTGGCGGCCTGCGCCCAGCGGGGGGAGGGGGGCTCTGCAGCAGCCGCTCAGAGCCGAGGCCGGTCGCCAGGAGCCCGCGCAGGAGGCCGGGCGCCTACACCAGGCGGGTGACGTGGCAGCCACTGGGCTCGTCCAGGAACAAGGTGCTGAAGACGTCGTTGAAGAAGGTGGGGTGGTACCGGCAGGCGCGCTCGCAGTCCGGGTTGAAGTTCACCTCCAGGATCTGGGGCTGCATCACTCGCTGCCCTGAGGGCACAAAGCGCAGGCACCTCACTCCTGGGGGGCGCACGGGGCTCCGGCTCCTGGGCCTGGCCTGGGGCCTCCTCCACGAAGGACCCGAGGGCCCGGCCCAGCCTCTCCTGCGCCTCCAGGAAGTGGGGTGGCCCCTCCCCCTTCCCGTTGGCTCTCTGTCCTGCAGGCTGTCGCCCCTTAATGATGGGCCTCCCCAGGCCCAGGTCTCCTGGCAAAGGACCACCCAGCAGCCTGGCTAGCGACGCCCCCTCTGGCCATCGGCTTGGGGTGCGTGAGGGGTTGGGCGACGGGGACCCTCACCGTCCGGACGGCTGTCCCACTTCAGCATGAGGTCGATGGCGTACACGGCCCGGGACGAGGGGTAGTCGCAGAGGCCCTGGGGTGGCGGCTTAGCACACGCCGCCTGGAACAGCTCCGTGAAGGCCCGGAAGATCTCAGCCTGGGGACCGGGAGGCTGGGTCAGGGCTGCCCGGAGCGGCCCCTCCACGTGGGGTTTGCTGCCCCTTCCCAAGCCCCAGCCCCGAAAGGCCCAAGTCACCTCCTCCTCCACCCTGTTTCTCCAGGCCTGGCCGTAGCCGCCTCTGCCCACACCTGCCCCTCCGTCCTGGCACCACCTGCCTGTCTCCTGCCTCGAGCCCCTGGCTCCCCTCTCTACCACGGTGTGCAGGGTGCAGGGCACCTGCCACGCTCACCTGGGACGTGGAGGGCAGCCTGCACCTCCAGTGGAGTCCCTGCTGCCCCCTTAGGTTTGCGATTCCAGGGACAGGCAGGGCTGTGGCCGTCTGGCTGTCCCCAGGGTGCCCTGAGGCCCCTCCAGGTCGCCCTCCACACCTCACCGTCCCTTCCCTGACCTCGGTGGGAGGACAGGACATCCGAGGAGGCAGACCCCCACGTGGCCCACCAGAGGCCCTGGCCCCTCCAGCTTCGCTCGGGACTCACCTGGACGCTCCTCCAGGGGAATTCTGGGTACTGCTTCTCAAACTCAGGGATGAACTCATCGTAGTGCACCTGTGACAGACACAAGGCCCGTCACCCTCTGCCCTGCCTCCACGTGGGCCTCCGACACTCGCTGGGGTCACAGGTCAGCGCCAGCAGCTTAACCCCCTCCCCTCGGGGCACAAAGGGGAGGCAGGAGCCGGGGTCTGAGCTCTGGACCCGCAGAATTACTTCTCGCAGCCTCAGTGTCTGCATCTGTGAAATGGGACTATGCTCCCTGCC